ACATATTTATTCAACCCAAACCAGTTGGAGTATTCATATACCCAACAGTTTACTTCCAGAATGGGTGTCATGAATTTAAAATTATAATAGTAGCTTTCCCAAGCTGGTGAATTGTAATTGAATACTACTGATGTTTAGTACGTATCCAAGAAATAAGTATCTTCCATCTTGCTAGCCATATATTGAATTCACATTATTTTAAAATCTTAATTATTCAGTGTACAAATACAAGATACAGAACAGTACAATTAAATGCTTGCATTTTCTGCTTAGTATATTCTTGTTGCTCATGCTATAGATAATGTTTACTCATCTGGGGAAATAAAGCAGAGTTCTCTGCCAAAAAATAATAAGCTTGATTAGGCAGCAATCACTAGTTGAAACTGTTCAGGCAACTATCATATTACATCCCAGTTTTTATTTTATGTCCTGAAATTTTGGATATTCTTCAATGCGTAATAAACTTTTAAGTTCTTGCATGTAAAAAAAAGTTTACTGGGAACACTATTCAAATATCCTGTAAATCAATTACAGAGTTGTACAAGCAATTGCAAAATGAAATGGTTAAATAGTAGAGGTCATGCATTTTATTTACATTTATTGAAATTATTTTTTTCATAGTTACTCACTTTTCTCCCACTATACCCCTAGATTCTTTTAAATCTCAATACAATAAAAGTTACATTTAAATCACATTAAGTAAGTACTAGTAGTAAGAACATTTGTGGATATACCACAGTCTCTTTTTTTAATCAAAAAATGATTGAAGTTTAAAAAATGAGAAGGGGAAAGTTGGTATCTCCAATCTCATTTGGAGGGTGAAGTAGAAGTAAGGGTGGTATAGAAGTATATGATACTTGTGCATCAGATTTTAATTTCATCCATGATAGATTTATACAGATCAGCAACTATAAACATTTGATTTATTTTTGCTGAATCTTTGAGTGAAATATATCGCTTAGCCCTAGAATTTTAATGTGATGGTAAAGCATGCTGTCATGCCCCTGGTGGAGGCTGACTCTGAGGGAGAGGAGGAACAGCCGACAGGGAATGGAAGTGTGGCTCCGGAGGTTGTGGAGGAAGCTGGGGAAGGGCAGAGGCCAGCTGAGCAGTCAGAGGAGGACCCAGGCCTATCTCCTTTCCATCATAGGGCATGCAGGGAGGAGAGGATAAGGGAGAGATGTGGTCTACAGGGGAGGAGAGGGGCTTGATTCTCTTTATGGTCTGCAACTATGACAACTGGATAAGAGGACAGACATGCATACGGGCGAGTGCTGGAAACAAAGCATGGAAATATCTCTCGTTTATTGTTCCTCTTTGGCGTCCTTCCCAGTGTGTGTTCTGATATCTGTGGACTTCTTTAAGCCGTTATCTTGTCTGGTTTGTGTTGTTTTTTACTTTTTATAATTTAAATGGCATTTTCTCCTTCTTGTAACTGCTTGTGTGGGAATTTTTTGTCTCCAGTCAAGGATATTTGGAGCTTAAAAGCAAAGTGAAGGAATAAAAGGGGCTTCACCTGTTTTTTTTTGTGTGACTGTGTTTATTTTGTATCCCACTCTGGGTCATAACACATGCCCTGTTTGTTGTCTCCAGAAAAATGTGCATATTTTTTTGATACAGAGGAAGAAAATAACAATTATATTGGCAAAATTAGAATCCTCTTCTATTTTAACGCTATACATTTTTCAAATCATATTAAGTCAACTTAAAGTGTGGAACTTCATTTTTAATTATTTTATATAGAAGTTTTATCTTGCTTTAAAAGGACATCTCTTGGCAAAGTAAGTTAAACAATAGTATTTAACAGTAAAGCACAATATGCTGGTTGTGTAAGGTTCCCAGAAGCTTTTATCCACTCAAGGATATGAAAAAGTAGGACAGAAACACACTTACACACCCCTGTTCTGTATAAAATATGTAATAAAATGTAAAAGAAAAGTTTTCCTTCCAACTTCATTAGTACTTTGGGAAAGATAAAGGAGCAATCACTAAGGTACAGCCTTACTGTACTTGAGGCCATTCCCCTATGGCAGTGGAAGAAGCAGTCTGACACCTCCTTATATATTAGATTTAAAAATCCCAGGAATTTGAAATAAACTGGGTTTTACAAGACTTTGATTTTAAAGCAAGTTGGCTCAACGACATAATAGTATTAGTAGTAGTTGATGTAGTAGTACTACTATTACTTCATCAATATTTATCCTTGGTGACCCTTGGACAAATTCCTGCATTTTTCTTGCCAAGATTTCAACAATGATGTCTCATTGCCTACTTCCTAAGACTGAAAGAGAGTGACTGGCCCATGTTCATCTAGCTGGTTTTCATGGTTGAGGTGGGACTAGAACTCACAGTCTCCTGGTTCCTATCCCGATGCCTTAACCACTACACCAAACAGGCTATATTACTACTACCACTATTCTGTTAAAATAGATGGGGGAATATTTTAGTCTAAAATTATGCTTATCTGTCAGATAAGAATGATGTGGTTTTGGCGTGTAGACTTTTTTCTGCTTCTAAGAAGATAGTTCCTATCATCATCTCATCTTTCTCCATTATATTGATTTTTATTTACCTTCCCATATTTATTACAGGCCCTCATTTTGCAGCTGTCAACCATAATAATGAAATTATTATTACTGATTTCCACAATCATTCTGTCAAGGTATGATGCTACTAGTTCTTTGAACCTTTGGTATTCATTCATTTTCTTTTATAGTCTCAAACTGATAGAGAACTTTTTGTAAAAAACTGTTAACAAGAACAAATGCAAAAATGAATACTCTTAATTTTAATTAAATTTACATATTATATTAAAATACTTGAGTAATTAGTACATATTAAATAACCAATGCTTTAGTTTAAGGCAAGGGGTCCCCAAACTTGACAACTTTAAGATTTGTGGACTTCAACTCCAAGCTATGCTGGCTGGAGAATTCTGGGAGTTGAAGTCCACAAGTCTTAAAGTTGCCAAATTTGAAGACCTCTGGTTTAAGGGATGATGTGGTTGGTGTCGTTTTTATGTTTAATTATGATAATATATTGTTTGTTTTAGTTCCAAGAAATACAATGAATGTTCCTTAGATTCATTTTGCACAGTAATTGTAAATTATTAATATATACAATATACATTTATTATTGCTTAAATTTACATTTGTATTATATTTATGTAGTTTAATTAACTGGGTTTATTAATAATTTATTAAATTAAATTTGTTTATTATACAAATATTTATTATTTGTATACCGTTCAGGGTCACCCTGTGAAAGAGATGGGCAATTTCTAGATGTGAGAGGCAGTAGGTAGGTAGAAGATAGATAGATAGATAGATAGATAGATAGATAGATAGACAGACAGAATGAATGAATGAATGAATGAATGAATGAATGAATTCTAATATATTATTTTAGAGTGATTTTAATGTTTAAATGGCCCATGGATGCTCAAACCATAATGAGATTCAGTATATTTTTGTCTTCCTTCTGTGTCCCCCCTCTCCATTTTTCTGTTATTTGTCTGAGGATGCTTCTAAACAGAACAGTAAAATATAGCGCTCTAAATATAACAATAATTGTAAGAAACACAAAAATCAGTTCTATGAATAAGAAGTTGTGTTATAAGAGAAGACTACTATCAAGTTCCATTAAGCTATGTATCTGTTACTTGAAACTAAATAACCACTGAAGAATCTAGACGATTCTTCATTATCTTCGAAAAGTAGGCAGGAAATAATTGTGTTTTTGGTTTGGATTAAAAGGAAGACATTGAATTACATTGAACAGGTTGCTAGTATACCAGCTCAGCTGGAGAGCAACTGCGTAATGTTAGAAGTAGCAGTTGTTTAGTTGTGCAGGATTTCCTAATTTGAAAAGAACGGTTGGGTATATGGCCAGATTCCAACACAAGATAAAATAAAGGTAGATAATTGTTTGAAAAAAACAGAATGTATTGCTGTCAATCAACAATTAGAAGAATGCTTCTAGTTAAGTTCATAGCTCTAATTTATATGTTTCAACTTCCCTGTGGCCTAATCCCAAGGCTTTTTGGTATTTTACCAAGTTGCCAACAACCATTCTACCAATTTATGCCATAATCTTTGAACTTAGCTTTTCAGATCTTATCCCCTGGTTTTGCCACATCAATTATTCATTTTTTTAAAACCGCAATTAAATCTGGCATGTTATGTTCAAGAAATCCCACAATATTTTAACTTACTTTCAACTACTTCTTTCAATTATATGTTCCTACTAATTTTTCATCACTGGGACATTTACAGATGTTCCAGTAAATAATTTGGGCCCCTATGTTAATGCCACTGTTTATAATCAGCCCGTGTGATCTTTGCACAAGCTGAATATATGCTTTTTCTGCTTCCTTGCAAAGTCTATGGTTTGAATCATTTTATAATCTTCAATTCTGGCTTTGATTGCATTAGTTTGAATTTGTTTGAGTTGCAGTAAACCTGTCTCCATTTCTGTGGGGCAGGTGTAATCAATCAATATGTCAGATGAGAACAACGAGATCCATATATGAAAAGTTCAATTAACTACTTTATTACTCATGCCTATTTCACAGGAATCTTCTTAGACTTGCAGTTTGCACCTGGGCCAAATTAGATAAGATTCAATGGCATTTAAGGGAGGTAGGAGGTTGGACCTTTCCCTCTTGTTGCCTACATAATGATTCCAGCTTAATTCCACACTTGACTCGTTCCCCTGGCCCAGCCATCTTTCTCTGGCACAATATCATTATAGAAATGTAAAGCATACTAAATATTCATCAGTATTCTGTTTTTTAAGGCCAAGCAGTTTGTATCCAATTAATTATTTCATTGTTTAAACATGACCTATTGAGTCCTTGCCAAGGAGGTGGGATAGGCAGATGTTGTTTGATGATGTTAAAGGTATCATCATAGGATGAAAGTAAAGCTCTCTGAGTAAAGCTGCCTTTGCAATTGACTGATGATCATTATTATTATTATTTTAATATAATTATTACCATCATAATTTCTGAAAACTCACTATAATTTTTCCCTCTATAGATAATTTTTATAAAGTTTTTTAAGTGTTCTGTTTAAATGTCACCCAGGTATTTAACCAGGAAGGTGAATTCTTACTGAAGTTTGGGTCTAATGGAGAAGGAAATGGACAGTTCAATGCTCCAACAGGAGTAGCTGTAGATTCTAATGGGAATATTATTGTAGCAGATTGGGGAAATAGTCGAATACAGGTAAATAACATTTTCCTCTCAATTAGCAACTTTAATATGATATGCTTGTGATGCATGAAATTTTTTTTTCAAGTCTCAAGGATAAAACCATGTTATGTGTCTCATCTTTATTACCAAGAAATCCACTGAGATCTATAAGGTAATTGTGGTCTTTCTGCTGAAGCATGCCTCCTCCTCCTCCCCTCCCCCATGCCTCTCTGTGAGCATGCAATTTATTCAATTTATATAGCTACCCATCTCAAATATGTGGCTCCAAGTGGTTTATGAAGAATTAAAAACAATTCAAAAACACCAAAACCATACAACAGATTAAGAACAATAAAATATAATAAAATTCAGGTAGTCACATCCATTAGTAACAATTGATGCAGCCACTTCACAGGGTCTTATCCTAGGGTCTTTTCCTAGGCTTTTAACAGGACACTGAGTTCTTTAATTTGGCATGCCCTAAGCCAGTAGCACTTTAAAGATTAATACCATTAACATAACAATACGCCCCCCCTCCCCAAGTAGGAAGACCCAGCATGTTTTCTAGGCATAAAATGAAATTAAGCCCCTCCCCCAAATTTAGGCTTATTTTAAAATATGCAAAATGGGGGGAAGGGCGGTGGGGAACTTGCTGTTAGGAGCGCCCCACGGGCAGACATGCCTCGCCACCAGCTGCTCCTAACGGGTGATCATGGTAGAGTGCAGAGAGCTCCCTACTCCCGCCAAGCACCTTTGCTGCAGACCTGAGACCTTCGGCGCCCGCTGCTGCTTCCTCTGCCGCTGTTGCTGTCCCTTCTGCCCATGCCACCACTGCATTTGGAGCTGCTGCTTCTGTGTTTGAACTACCACCGCTGATTGGAGCACATTTGGACCGCCGCCGCTGTTTGGAGCACCGCTTCCATGTTTGGAGCATGTTTGGAGCAGCAGCAGCAGCTCCAACGCAGCAGCAGCATTTCAAACGCGGAAGCGGCAGCTCCAAACACGGCGGTAGAATGGGCAGAAGGGAAAGCAATGGCAGTGGAGAAAGCAGCAGCGTTAGGTGCCGAAGGTCTCAGGTCGGCAGGAGTAGGGAGCACTCCGCCATGATCTCCCATTAGGAGCGGCTGGTGGCGACACATAGCTGCCCCCCGGGGCGCTCTAGGCGAGGATGCAAGGGGGGGAATTAAGTTACCCCAGAGAAGACGGCCTAGCCATTTTGGGGGGGCTAAAAAAAAAAAAAAGACCTGGCCTTATTTTATGAGAAACATGGTACCAGCTCTTAAAATTATAGTAGCTAGTGCAGATCTTATCCTAGGGTTAGAGTTAGGATTGTTTGATCACAATTTTATTTGTACTACACTCCCAGGTCCCATATCTATTGGTAAAACCACGTTTTCAAGGCCCCATGAAAAGCCAGCAGAATTGAGGCCTATGTGATTTCCAAGGAGATAATCTATGCACATTAACTACAGCATATAAAATTATATTGTTCTTTGACTAACCATGGTCTTTTGATCTAATTCACAGGTTTTTGATGGAAGTGGATCCTTTTTATCTTACATAAATACATCTGCTGATCCACTTTATGGTCCTCAAGGTTTAGCTCTTACTTCGGATGGTCATGTTGTTGTTGCAGATTCTGGGAATCATTGCTTCAAAGTCTACAGATATTTACAGTAATGGTTGGAGTTGGAACATGTTTAAGAAGTTACTAGCTGCTTCTAGAGGACAGTGTAGATAATATTCTGCTTCTTAAATATTTTTTCTGTTTTTTAAATATTTAAAATTTAAAACTGCAGGATCTCTAGTATGATCATTCTTTTATTTTATTCCAGACTTACCTTGTTTACATAGAATTTGCATAGAATTTATATGCTCTGCATTGAATTTATCAGAAGGATTAATGAGACCCTACTTCACCCTACACCCCCCACTAAATAAAACCTTCACAAAGCCACTGGAATACTAGAAATATAAACTGTGACTTGTAGAGCAGACATTTATAAATATATAAGTAATTGGATGTACACATGAAGAAGGAAATGGACTCAAGAAGGTACTTGATTCAGAAGAATTTATTTTAACTCTGAATGGGAGAAGTTTAAATTTTCACATTTCAAAATTCTTACTAGTAATAATATTCAATCCAGCAGGATGTCTGGGAATCTTCAAGAACACATTATTGTAGGTATCTCACATATAACATTATTCAGATGTACTTTGTAACTTTAAGTAGTTTATTTTAATTTAAAAAGGATGTGAGTAATCCTTTCTGTTAATTGGCAGACCTAATAACTTAATTTTTAGAATTATAAGAACAAACACACATTTTCTGTAGTGCGTGGATTGATGTACATATCTAGCAACTTTTCTACTATTCAATATGTTGTCAATGTTTTATTGAAACCTAAAAGTTTACTCTGGAAATGTAGGATAATGTAACTGCTGATAGTTCATAGAATCAAGTTCCAATTAATACCAGGCTAATTCGTTAAAAAAAATGGTGACTGTTATATCAGTTTAACTAATTTCACAACTGACCTTTATATTTCATATATGTTCCTACAGTGGTTATAAGAGCAGTCAATTTTATTCAATTGCTTGTTTTTGCACAGGAAAACAAGCCTTATGTGTATCCTAGTAGAAATCTTGTATTACCAAAGGAAGTTTGGGTAGGTGACAAATTTTGAGGAGGAAGTCAAGGGTTACCAAAGCAGGGTATTTTTTTTTTAATTTCAAAAATTTAATTGTCTGTGGTTACTGTACATAAGTGGAGGATATTGAAGATACTTAATTAATGTGAGGCTACATTGAGATTCCAAAAAAGCTCATAATTTTCTTCATTACAAATGTGGATAATGTGAACATTAAAAAAACAATTTTAACTATAGGCAATTTTGATGTACATGTTTTCTTGGTGCCCTTTCTTGAGGTCTGAAATTTTACTTTTATTGAAAGTTTCTTCTCTTATGCTTGCTTCTTGATACAGGTCTTGTGATTTCCAGTTAATTGGGAACATCAGAGTGCAAATTTTTTCATTTTTATCCAACAGCAGCATAATTTTGCATAATATTAAATAATGTTTAGAACAAGTAAGAATAAAACTGCAATCAACAGCAAATGACGTTGACACTCTTAAAAGAGTGTTGTCAACATTTGAAATAATATTGTATTTCCTGTTTCAATCATGGTGCTTTCTAAATATATTTCAGCTACACTACTGGAATAGGTGGAGCCCAATATCTTATCTAAAATACTGACATAATGGCTTTATTTGGACAAAAATAAAACAAATTATGTAGTTAGTACTGCTGCTAGATAATTGCCTATATTTTGGAATATAACACAATTAAATTTGAAATGATTCAGTATCTAAACTAATGATACATATTGTTTTAATACTTAGCCAATAATTTCAAATAATGTTATAAAACAATTCTTTCAAAAAGAACATGCCAAGAATCTAATTAAAGAATTCTTGAATATACAAAGAAATATCTGCAAAGGCAATACACACTAGACATTATTTGTCCTAAACACTGAACCAATTTGAAAGCTGTTTGAATTTTAAGAGGGAACTGGATTTCCTATTTATGATTTTATGAATATTTATTAATCGTATGAACAATAAAAAAATTGTAATTGTTATTGAGTTTCTTACATAAAAAGGGCATTTACAAATTGTTCCAAATGTTATTGTTATGAACTAGATTCAAAGCATATTGTCATACCAATCTGGTTTAAAGTTTGAGATAGTCATATGATAAATACAAATATTTGCTTGAGTTTTTAAAGAGGATACCAAGCCAAATCCTATAGTGACCTAAATGGAAACGTCTCTAGTAAAAATCTGGGATATTTATATTCATTTTAATGACTTACTGCAGTTTTCAGTTCATTATATAAAGGATAGAATAGAGGCTAAATTGTCCTAAATTGATACATATATAGTATTTGATGCATGCAGGCATGTCCATGCATTCCTTAAAACACTTCCCTAAAATAGTTCCTCAGTTCTAATAAAAATTAACTTAGTAATGCTTAGCGATATTTGATTCAAATTTGAATTATCGCTTCTTTCCTTTGCAACTATGCTATCATTTGTTAAGGCAACATGGCCTTCCCTTTGATTTTTATGCATGTTACTGTAAATTGACTGATGCTGCTAGAGATCTGTTGAATACTTCTCTTGATCATAGCTAAAAGGCCAAGAAGTGAAGAGGCCTGTGGAATTGTAGATCCTTGCTAGAAGTTGAAAGTATAGAATCATTAGACGGCTGAAATAAGGCTAGATGAGTCTACTTTAACATTGAGTGATGCCAAAATGCCTAATCAAAATTGGATTGTTTCTTGCTCATCAAATTCCCAAAGCTCACTACTAAAGCATTTGTGTCCTGTAAGAAGTAACTGATTAGAGATTACTATAAAACTTGCAGAACTACATATACAAGAAACCAGTCTGGATCCAAATAAACATTTACTAGACTACAGGCATTTACTCTTCTAAATTAATATTCAAGAATAGTATCTGTAGATTCAGCCCAAATCTGTGACTCTGCCAAACCTACAATTACTTTTTAAGGTATATCTGTACTGCAAATGTACACTAAATTAACAGACTCTGGGAGGCTGAATTGTTTTAGTTTATGCTTGCAGAACAGACATCCCTCTTGTATCAAGTGGTGCTTATAGCTGCAGTAATGAACAATGCATATGTGTTTAGTCAATGTAAACACTTGCTTGATATAAGGTTTTTTTAAAATTTTAATTTGTTTTTGGATAAACTTGCAAAGTGTATATTGAAAGGTTTTTAACTGTAAAAAGCTGTTAAAATTAGTTGAGTTTTTACACTGATTTAAAATTTCAGCAATGTAATGAGAAAATGATCTCCATTATTGTTGACCTTTGTAAACATTACAGGGCTTTCAACTTTACAGCTACTTTTTCTTTGATATAACTGAAGATTTAGCATTGCCATATGAAAAAAGTGCCCATTAAGTTTTGCTTGTTGTGTGAAGAAATGATAGCAAAGAACAAAATGATGCTATCTATTGAAGATGCTGTTAAACTGTGAGCAATGATTAAAAACATGTGTTCTGAAGAATGTATGAAAGGTACTCTTTTTCCTATAGTGTAGAATGATTCCTAATTGTTGATAGCTTCTAATGAATGTACAACATTGAACTGGATGTGTGCATAGCCTTAACCTCAAAAGTTTGCTTTTTACTCCCCTTTATGACATGGGAATGTTCCATAATAAGTAGCATATCCCAGTGCTTGCAATTGAATTGTTTCACACATTATATTTTTCAGATTCTTAGAATAAATTAATTTTATTGTTGCTTTGTACATTCCAACTTCATGCGCCAGTTCATCTCTATTTCATTTTTAGATACATAAAGTTATTAAAGTTATGTTCTCTAGAAATTATACTGAAATTGTAGGACTTATTTTATTTTTTATGCTCCCTTGTCGGTTTTAATAGATGTATAATCTCTGTCTAGTTAAGGCTGAGGATGAAAGCTGTTCATTGAAGAATGTCTGTATGTAGATTTAGCTTCATGTGTGCCATGGTATTTTTTATGATTTATCCTACAAAGAGAGCTTAAAAAAACCCTTTTACCTTATTTTGGAACACTAAGAAAAACAAAATCAAATGTGTGTCATGCACAACCTTCCCCCAAATAAAACTGAATGAAAATTGTTTTGTGTTGTTTTTCAGAATTGAAGATGGTTGGGTTGCCACGTTGTCCTCATGTACCTTTATTGCTCATTTTCATTTTTAACAGGGAAAGTGTCAAGAAGTCTATCTACTACATAAAAAATAACTACATTTTAATTATAAAACAGTATTTCAGAGCATATGATGCCTATGTACTAATAACTATAGGTACATCCAAGCCATGGACGAGGGTGCATGATTTTGCTTTCAGTCAAACTCAACTGTGAACTGTCTATGAAGATTCTTGGTCATCCAGGTCAGGATTGCCTCAAAAGTATTTTTTTTAAAAGGCAACTGGATTGATTTTAAACAGATTAAATTTAAATTTTAGTTTCCTCAAAATAATCAGTCCAGTTACCTTAAAAAAAACACATTTGACCGGGTCCTTCTTGTTGCCTTTCTTTGCTTCTAATAGAGAATGAAAGCATATTTGAAGAAAAAATGGAAAACCAATTTAAGCAAAAATAAAATAGAGTAGAGAAATTATATAAAATTTAATTATTTTTGGATTAAATTATAACTGCACATAAAATGATCTTTACAACTTGATAGTTCAAATTATATTGGAATCAATATTCAATAATTAACAAAAAGAGGAAGTATAATCACTCAGAATAAATAATATAAAAAGCAGACCACATATAATATTAAATAGACTTATGTAATGTTTAAATAGCCTTAAATAAAAACCCAAACTATGAATATAATACAAGTCCACGTGCAGAATTATAATCCATAGTTTGATTAGATTGTGTATGTATTGACTTTCAAATAAAACATATTTTGACATTAATGCACATTCTCAAAGCTTAATCTGCAATTCTTCTGTAGAAGGAATTATATGTGATTTCCGGTAAAAGCTATAAAGTACGCTTTCAACTGTTAGCTGTGATGACCCAGGGTGGGATACAAAAGCAACAAAGTCACAAAAACAGATGAAATCCCTTTAATTCCTTCAGCTTAGCTTTAAAGGTCCAGTTATCATTGACCGGAGAGAAAAAAAAAACACCACAAACAGTTGCGAAAAGGAAGAACTTCCATTTAAACTCAAAATACATATAATTATAAATAGAAAACAAAACAAAACACAAACCACACTGAAGAATTAATGAGGCAAGGCAGGATAAGGGCTTGAAGACGTCCACAGATCTTGAAATATACACACCGGGAAGGATGCCAGAACTCAGATAGGAACTGACAGACTGGAAATATTTTCACGCTTTGCTTCCAGCACTGGCCCATGCGCAGTTTGTCCTTTTAAACAGTCCATGAAGGGGATCAAGGCCCTTTCTGCTGCAGCCCATGAAGGGGATCAAGGCCCTTTCTTATCCCGTAGACCATGCCATTTACATTTCTCCCTTACCCGCTCCTCCCTGCATACCCTAAGATGATGATGGGATAGGCCTGGGTCTTCCTCTGAATGCCTGGCTGGCCTGTGCCCTTACCCAGTTTCCTCCACAACCTCTGGAGCCCCACACCCTGTTGGCTGTTCTGCCTTTCCCTCTCAGTCAGATTTTAACAGGGGCATGACAGTTAGCTATATCAAAGCTAAATCTGTATACTTCACAGAAATGTGAAGTTTGGTGATGTTTAGCAGAAAGACAGTTGTCAAGAAAAAAAATATTGCATTGCTTAATAACAATTCCCAGCAACGAGTGTAACTGCTATGGAATTTTACTTTATTTAAATAATTTATTTGGTCATCCATCTGTCAACAGTGACTGGTCACAATGCAAAAATTAAAGCCCAACAATTAAAAGCCCATAACATGTCTTCCAGGCATAAAAGTACATGAACAAGCACATAACCTCCTGGCCCAAATGCCTAAGGAAAGAGCCTGCTGAGATTCTTCAAACACACCAAATATTTCATTCTGTTCATTCATGTAGGGACAAATGAATGCCAGAAGAAATAAGTATCACAAAATTATGAGACCTTGGGCTGGAAGGACCTGAGAGTGCAATAACCACTGGTTAACTCTTCCAGTGAAGAGCCACACATAACAGGAAAGAATCCTTGAAATCAGTTGCTAATCCCTGACAAATTCGGCTCCCTGGACCACAGACAGTGGTTTAATGAAGGATTCCTGGCAAGATACAGGCTACATTTCACAAAGATTGGAACATAGTCTGCTTGTTTCTCACCAGAAAGGTATTTAATTATAGAAAATAGCAAACCAAATAAACTGTCAAGAAGTGAAACCAATAACAGAGAATGTAGTATGAAAATAGATACGGAATTTAAGAGATTGGGAGGAAACTGCAAGAATAACCATTAGGGTTATCACTTCAGTTCTCAATATATTACAATGCAAAAATGCAGGCTGCAGAAAATGGGGAGAATTTGAAAAGTTAAACTTACATAGGATTAAGTACAAATTCTTCAAGGAAAACACTTAATAGCAAAGGAAGGTGTGGTAACTTTAAAAAAATATAAATCAAAGAATCAGAACCTGAAAATCCCAGCCACAATATCTGCAAAAATTAGAGGAGAAAGAATCTAAATTTATATTGTTGGAATTTATTATAAGACAGCCTGGAGATTAGTGAGACCTCTCTGTCAGATTGCCAAACTTTCAAAAAGACATGCAATAACAAGGGCATTTCAACTGCTCCACCACCTTTTGGAAATCTTAATTTGCTGAATTCAGAAGTAAAAAAATTTCTAACAAGGACACGTTGGCTGAAGAAATGAAGAGATTATTGGGATCTTGTGGAGAAAATGTAATCCTGTTCTCTTTTAGTTCATGCCAGGGCTCATACAAATTAAGGATCAGATTTGTATACTAGGATAAAAAGAACATATTTTGATGCAATCTGAGGGAAAACAGGGTGGATTCAGTGTCTTGAAGTCAAGAGGTAGAGCACAGAATCCCAATTCCATTTTAGGAGAAAAGAAACTTAAAAATACAAGAGATATACATAGTTAAGAAAATGGTGAAAAGAAAATGGCCTGTATATAGGAAATGAAAACAGGAATATATAACCAAACAAAAATTAGTATGGTATTAGAAAGACAAAATATAGAATAGGTCAAAACATGCAAGTAATGCCTGTAAACACACAAAAAAGTATGTTGTAGGTTTACCAGGAACAAAAGGAAAGGTAAAAAGCTGTAGGTCTGTGGCTAGAACAAAGTGGAATTGTAATTGATGACAGTGAAAAGCAGAATGTTTAAACTTGTGCTTACACCTACTCTCTTAGAAAGAAATGAAACCTTAGCTAACCATCATTATGCTGGGGGAAAAGGAGAGAACTGCCATTTAGTACAGGCAAGAAAGAAACATTTAGCTAATGTAAATGAGGCTAATGCTCCAGCATCAGTTGCATTATATTTAGGTTACTGGTGCAACTAGTGGAAGTGTTTCATTAATCCTTTCCTATTAGTATAATCCTAAAATATTAAATAGGTAATAGAGCTTTTACCTTGATTCATAAGTAGCTAAATGACTATGCCTAGAGAATATCCCTAATAGTTCCACTGAAGCTTGGAAAGTACTATAAACAGGTACTCCTCAACTTACAACAGTTCAAAGTTACAATGGCACTGAAAATATTACAGATTACAGATAATTAGATTTGGAAGGGACCTTGTAGGTCATCTAGTCCAACCCCCCATCCAAGCGGGAGACCCTACACCATTTCTGACAAATTGCAGTTCAATCTCTTCTTGAAAGTCTCAAGTGATGACACTCCCACAACTTCTGAGGGCAAGATGTTCCATTGGTTGATTGTTCTCACTGTCAGAAAGTTTCTCCTTATTTCCAGATTAAATCTCTACCTGTCAATGAATACTTCAGCTTCAACCATAACAACACAAGAGCACACAATAGATGCAAACTCAAGGTTAACCAAACTTGATTGCAGGAAATATGACTTCAGCAACAGAGTGGTCAATGTCTGGAATACTCTACCTGACTCTGTGGTTTCTTCCCTAAACTCCAAAAACTTTAACCTTAGACGGCCTACTATTGACCTCACCCCTTTCCTAAGAGGTCTGTAGGGGGTGTGCATAAGCGCACCAATGTGCCTACCATCCCTGTCCTATTGTTTCTTTTATTTTTCTTATATGTACCCATTTAATGTATTCATAACTATGTATACTTATACCTATTATCTTGTAAGTGATTGATAAATCAAATAAATAAATAAATATATCTGCAAATTTGGTAACTTCTCCTCCTAATCCCTCATCTAAGTCATTAGTGAAGATATTGAAGAGTCCTGGGCCTAAGATGGAACCTTGTGGCACCCCACTGCTTACTTCCCTCCATGTAGATTTAGACCCATTAAGGACAAAAAAAATGTGACTTATGACCATTTTTCACATTTAGAACTATTGCAGCATTCCCATGGTCACATGATCAAAATTCAGATGCTTAGCAATTGGTTCAAACTACTACAGTTGCAATGTCCCGGGGTTATGTGATCAGCTTTTGCAACCTTTTGACAAGCAAAGTCAATGGGGAAGCCAGATTCACTTAATTGTGTTACTAACTTAACTGCAATGTTCACTTAACAACTATTGCAAGAAAGGTCATAAAATTGGGCAAAACTCACTTAACAAATGTTTCACTTAGCAACATAAATGTTGGACTCAATTGTGGTCAAAACTTGAGGACTATCTATACTGAAGAGCCAAAGGAATATCCTGACTTCTGTGTTATTGAACATTTTGTGAGCTATTCAACATTTTGTGTGTTTTTTAATATTTTGTTAATGATGTTAAAGAGGAAATAATTATTAAATTTGAAGAAAGAAGAAAAAGGAGCGGCTAATACTTTAGAAGGTAAAGAATATGTTTAAAAAGATTTATACAGACTTGAATGTGAGCTGAAATGCATT